AAGAAGTTTGCTCAGCCAATAACTCAAATGCCTAAAAATCAACTATACTAGATCAAAAGTCAATTGTGGCCCACATACAGTCAAACTTCAAGATTTATGGTAAAAATAAACATTTTGGAGTAACATCCATCATTTGATCAAGGGTTGATCATGATTACTCAAGGAATTCCCCAAATTCATCAAAACTCAAAAGTTGCTAAATTAGGGTTTCTATAGGAAAAGTCAACAAAACTTTGACCAGGCATAACTTCCTCACACTTTATCAGAAATTTCTCATCCGAGGCTAATTTTTAGGAGACTCCAATTCCCTATAACTCATATTCAACCCTCAAGTTCAAAAAATGCACTCATGAAAAGATATAAATTCAGACATTATAGGTCATTTTAAAAAGTCAACAAAAACACCTTTTGGATAAAAGCTTCTTACATGAACATGGAAGACCCAATTGAGATGATACCAAAAGGGTTGTTTAGAGGACATCCTAAGCTTTCTAAAAAGTCCAATAACACCCTCTTAGGGTCAAAATTGAAGGAGTGTGCATTGTCAAAGTTGCCCATTTTTGGAAATTTGCCTAAAGTCAACAATGCTCAAAATTGCATTTTTTCCACAAGGGCCCATTTTTTAAAGATTGAATATCAGTCCTAGCATGGTCCACGACCTATGGGACCCTCCATGCCTTTTTATTTTTGTTTATTTAATTTATTTTGATTTTTATTCATTTAAATTCAAATAAAATCAAAATAAATCAAACTTATGGAATGAGATTTGTTTTGCATTAAATTATAGATCATGCAAGTTGTATAACCATAAGCAAAATCGTGCAAGCTCTAAAACAAGATGAAATCTCCAATTTTTAAAAGATTTGAATAAAAAATTCAAGACCATCAATCTCTTGACTCTTTCCAAGTTTTATTGACCTAGTTGGATTCACTACTTATACAAAAGCTTTGTGAACCCTAGAGAAAAAGAAGACACATGCAACCTGCCTCTCAAGAACAAGAAAAAAGTTCAACTTTTTTGTGAAAAAGTGCAGACTGGATTCCTTTCTACAGGTCATTTCAAGTCATTCCAAGGATCAAAACAAATCCCTAGGCATCCTCTGAAGCGATTGCAAGCATCACCAACTCTCCACAAGCCAAGAAACGCGCTACACAAATAACACGATTTCCCTTCTTTCCAAAAATCGATTACCTTGATTCTTGCATCATAAACATGTTTTAATTATATGTTTGTGCTTGTTATCGTATTTGCAACATATTGGATTGGTTTGATTGAAGTTTGATTGCAGGTATGGACATCTGCCATGGCTAGGGTTCCGGAGCTCTAATTTGGGGAACCTTAGTTAGAGGCAAAATTAGGCCAAACTGAGGACCCTTTCATGTTTAGGGGTTAATTTGCAATTGATCCATGGCTCTGGATGGAATTTATTCTGCTTGGATCGCATTTTTTATGTTCGCAGGTTTGTAGCCACGCACAAAAACCATCACTATAGCCTATAATGACGAGTTTGTCCGTAGGTAAAAGTTCTCTCTAAAACAACAGTCCCTAGGGAAGAAGATGAAGGCGTGGCAATAATTGAGTTGATAGTTTGAAATTCGCGTGTTTTTCCTATTCATACTGACCATTATTCTATATAATATTTATTTTGTGTTTGTATTAACGATTGAGTAACTTGGTCCAGTGGCAAAGGGGAAGACTTTCAGGGCGCGCATTTGTAGGAGGTCAGGGGTTTGATCCCTATTTCCTACATAATATTTTTCCTAACATTCATCTACGGATTCAGTGATCCCTTCCCAAGCATGTACACCATAGGCCTCAAGACCCATCACCATTGGATCATCCTTGCCAAGATCCAAACGTCCAGTAAAGAGCAGCACATGGTATACTCCCTGAAGGTGATCCCCACTGGATCTAGCACAAATGAGCCAACTATCCTGGGCCCTGGAAAATCAGCGCACACCTCACAAAAATACTTTCACACCAGGCCCAATCTATTTTTTATTTTATTTTTTAATTTCTTTTCTTTGTTTTAATTATTATTTTTAATTGCTTTAAAAAATCATTTTTTCAATTAAATCAAAAAAAAAATCACAAAAACATGAGAATTAGGTTTTTTTTCATAAAATATTTTTTCATTAATTAATTAGTAATTAGAATAACTTAAATTCTTTTTTTCCATAATAAAAAATAAGCAATTAGAAGTTAGGTTAATTTGTAAAATTAATTATTTTTTCTCAAAAATCCAAAAAAAATACTTTTCTCTATTTACTGAATTAAATGTCGTTGAATTTAATTTTAATTCCGTATTTAATTTCATAGCGCGTATTTATTGCATTATTTTTCCGATTAATGTAATTGCTCTGAGTTTGTAATAGTTTAACTTAGGTTTACTATTTGCCTTTGCTATTTTCCTCCGGTTTTTGATTATATAATCCCCCTCCCCAAGGCCTTGTAATAGCTAGGTTTAAAATTCTCGCATTTTACTTTCCGTTATTATAAACTGTTAGATGGTTGATACTGGGATTGTATGCAAAAGATCATAATTTAAAACTGTAGAAAACCCTAAATGTGCAAAGATTAAATTAACTGGAAAAAAACAAACACTTGCACATGCTCACTCCTAGGGTTTTCCCCACTTCGATTGCCTTCGGTAAACGGTCATGAAGTATAGGGAGTCTTAGTGGTTGTTCTCTAGTCCCAAAATATAAAAAATGACCCATTCGAATGTTGCCTCAGAAAGATCTTTAGGACTCTAGGGTAATTACTAAGGTTTCCTAACCATTGCTTTAGTGATCGTAATTGTCCCTTTCGTCCCTTTCGGTTGTCCCTTAAATTCCAACGATGGAGCTACCTACTCCTTAATAGTAGGATAGTGATGTCTAAAGGAAATAAGAAATTGAACAAACTTTTTTGGAGTAGGTAGAAACTTTTAGGTACTTGCTCAAGTAAACTTTTTACACATACACTTTCAAACACTTTTCAAACAAAGTTTTCAAAACACTTTATCACACCCTTGACGACTGATACAAGGGTTACCATAAAGTGAAACTCGGCACTCAGGCATATTTCAAAACTTTTTCAAACACACAAACACACGAAAGTAATTTCAAAAATGAGCAAGTACCTAAGAGCCCATGGAAAACCATGGATAGAAAGGGTGCTAACACCTTCCCTTTCTATAATCTACCCCCCGTACTCAAACATCTCGAAAAAGGTTTTTCTGTTCTTTTTTCCTTTTCCTTTGTTGGATAAAATGAAAGGCGGTGGCGACTCTTGCTTACCGCGACATTTGCAAACAAAAAAAACACAAACCAATATTTACAATCGGTTATGCCACCGTATCACATAAACTATCAGCAGAAACCCATGTTACCCATTTCATATGCTCAAATACTCCCCTATTTGTTGCAATTAAAGCTGATTGAGTTGAGAACATTGAACATTAACCCCAATAGGTTACCCCTAAATTTTGATGTCATTTCCCGATGTGAGTTTCACTCAGGAGGACAAGGCCACGATATTGAGAATTGTACTATCAAATGTGTTTTTTTCAATTAGTGACTACCTTGATTCTAATAATACTATCAAATGTATTTTTTTCAACGTACATTACATCTAGATTATGGTGCAATGTATTTTGAGCACAGTAAAGCAACTCAAAAAAATTGACCTCTTCTTCCACAGGCCATCAACTTTATTTTTTTTCCGTCTTTCCGAATACATTATTGAAATCTTTTAAGATTTCAAGGATTTCTTCCCCTTTTAATGTGGATGGTGCAGACCTATGTTCTTCTTCTCCATTAAATGATTTGACATCATCTCTCAAAGAATGAGTTCCTGGTAAAAAGATACGGTGGTCCATATAACCCATCTTATGATTGTGTTTGAGGTAGAACAAATTGGTGTTATATTTACAACATGCACACGCCAATTTTCCTTTAGTGCTCCAACCCGACAACATAGCATAAGCAGGGTAGTCACTAATTGTCCATAAAAGAGCTGCACGCATTCGAAATGTTTTATTTATTGAAGAATCATATGTCTCTATGCTGGATTCCCATAATTCCTTTAGCTTCTCTATTAGTGGCTAGAGGTAAACATCAATATCATTTCTTGGAGATTTTGGTCTAGGAATCAACAATGATAACATTGTATATTCAGGTTTCATGGACAACCAAGGTGGTGTGTTGTATACCATCATCAAGACATGCCATGTACTATGAGATAAGGTCATTGTCCTAAATGGATTAAACCCATCACTCATTAAGCCAAGTCTTACATTGCGGGACTCACGAGAAAAATCTAGATGGAGATCGTCAAAGTCCTTCCACGCTTTACCATCACCAAGATGCCTCAATTTCCCATCCTTTGAGCGCTCTTATTCATTCCATCTCATTGAATCAGCTGTCTTTGAACACATGAACAACCTTTGTAGTCTAGGAATCAACGGAAAGTGCCTCAAAATTTATGCAGGAACTCTATAATTATATTTCGATTTCTCAGACTCACATCCTTCATTTGGAGCATTTTCTTTCCACCGTGAAGCTTCACAAATAGTGCAAGAATCGTCCTTTTCATGCTCTTTCCAAAATAGCGTGCAATCGTTTGGGCATGCATGGATATTTTTATAATCAAGGCCTAAAACAGTTATCATGGATTTTTTCTTGTAAAATGATACATGAATGTTTAAATAAGACATTGCTTCTTTCAACAATTCTAAGAGGGCGGTGAATAAGGTATTTCTCCAGCCGTGAAGACATTTCAACAAGTATAGTCGAATCATGAATGATAGAGTAGAGAAGTCTTTGCATCCAGGGTATAGTTCTTGTTTTGCCTCTTTAATCAAATTATAAAACTTTCTAGCATCAACATTGGGACCTTCATAAACTCCATGAGCTTTTTCCTTATCTATATATATGTCATGCAATAAGTTAGGAATGTCGTCATGTGATTCCTCTTGATCTTCCATCTCATCACAAATTTCCATAGACCTTTGTAGTTATTCCCCATGGTGCAACCATACGTCATAACCTTTTAGAAAAACTTTGGCTATTAAGTGATCCTTAATATAATCTCTTGTTTTCCAATACAAATTTTTACACTTGGCACAAGGGCATAAAATCTCATCTCCTTGAGGTCTTCCATTAGTGTAGGAAAAGTCTAAAAATTGAGTAACACCGTTGATGTACTCTTGACTAAACCTTGGAAATTTAGTACACTCTTTGTCCATCACTTTATAATCTAAATATTTGAAACACACAACACATAACAGATTCAAAACTGCATGCATACATAACACATACATGAACATATACAAAACAAATATCTTTGGAGTTGTACTAAAAGAAGCAATGCGATTACTTAGAACTTCACATTAGTTTCAAGCAATGCAGGACAATTGTATCATCTAGGACAAGGACTATAGATGGCTCAATTGAATATTTTTCCTGGAACTAGACTAAAGACAGTCATGATAGTATCTTTATTCGAAACACTAACACATCCCAAAATTTGATCATGAATGAAAAAAAAAACGAATGTAAACTATACAGGGAAGAAAGCCTGAAGAAAGTGTTGTGTTGATCACATTTTTCTATTATTTAGCTGGAGCACTTGCACCAGAAAGGGGTGAGTTTGTTAAACTCATGAAATTTAATATGAACATGACCAATATATGTAGAAATAACCAACATATAAGAAAACAAACTACTGAGTAGTAGTATGAACAGCAGCCACGGTAGAAACCATATAACAATGCACATCAGTAGTAGTAGCACATCAGTTCATCAAATCAAGTCACTAACACATAAATATCAGTTCTAACCAAGATAAATACAATCAATTCACAATTTTAACATCAGTTCTAACACATAAACATCAGTTCACATCAGCAAACATGCATCAAACCACACCCTATCCAAATTATAAACACATAAACATGCACATAAACATTAATACAAATTCTAACCAACTGCATTCCACCATATCCAAACAGAAAATCAATTTAATATTAACAATACTAACAGTGAATTAACAAGACTAACAATCTAACAATTTAACAGAAAATACCGATATAGTTTAATAGAAAAATTAACAAGAATAATTGAACTAACTAACAATTAACATTACTAACACCAACATAACATAGCAGTTGACTTGAATCAGTTACCAACATACTTTCTCAACCTTAATTCCATATAAGTTTCAACCCTAGTTATTCACCCTAAAAAAACTCAGTGTTACTCACCTCAATCTACTCAGATTCAAATAACCATAACAAAATCTACATGCAAAGCAAAATTAACACAATAAGTAACAATGAAATTATAACAAAATTAAAAATGAAACCCTACCGATAACTCCAACGGTAAGCGACAAGGGGAAGCTTTTGTTGGTACCTCAACAAAGGAATCAAAACTGCAAAACAAAATATAGATTAGGTCAACTGCAAGATAAAATCTACAAGCTTGTAAGAGAAAATCACAAATAAGGAAAAGAGGAGAAGAGGAGAACATGAGAATAGGAGAAGGGGAGAAGAAGAGAAGATGGTCGTACAGGAGAAGAGGAGAAGTAAAGAACATGAGGAGACACCGAGGAATAGAGGAGTAAATGCTTAAGGTGATTACAAAATTAGGTTAGATGCATCCTTACTGCATTGTATTTACTTTTTCAATTTTTTTCCTTTTTTTAATCTAAAAAAAAATAGAACTGAAATTAATTAACGAGAGGGAAACTAAAAAAGAGAGAAATTCTGACAGGGTATACTTTTTTGGGCTTGAGCCACAGTTTGAAGTGAAAATTATAATGCCGTGGTTTTTCTTTGTGGCTTAAAATATCTACAGTTTGTTAACTGTGGCTAAAATATAAGTGTCATTTTGTAACCGTGGAAATTGAAGAAAAGGCCACAATTTTACACTCTGGATTTAATGTTTCAAAACATATGTCTATGATTTGAAAACCCTGGCCAAAGCTTGTATGTGGCTGTAGTTTTTGAGTTGTGGAAAAATTTAGCATGGTTGTACGCCAAAAATGTTTTAGTATGAAGAGTTGGCCAGACTATTAAGGCATGGAGAAAGGGTCATTCAGCCACACCATGAATCTCTGGATATGGTCAATATGGGTACTGAAGAGGTCAAGAAAGAGGTCAGTATAAAGGCTGCTTTAGAATATAGTGTGAAGTAGAGATTGATTGAAATGCTCTAAGAGTATGTTGATATCTTTACTCGGTCCTATGAAGATATGCCTGGGTGGGATACATATATTATTGTGCAAAAGCAGCCTCTAAGAGAACAATGTCCTTCGATTAAGCAGAAGCTTTGAAGAACCCATATGGAGATGTCTAAGAGATTAAAGAGGAAATGCAGAAACAACTTGATGCAGGATTCTTGAAAGTTATCTCCTATCCACCATGAATTGCAAATATTGTGCCCGTGCCCAAGAAAGATGGGAAGGTAAGGATGTGTGTTGACTATAGGGACTTGAATAAAGCAAGCCCTAAAGATGACTTTCCATTTCCCCACATTGACATCTTAGTTGATAATGCTGCTCATGCTAAAGCATTTTCCTTCATGGATGATTTCTCTGGTTACAATCAGATAAAGATGGCTCCAGAAGACATGGAGAAAACAACTTTTATTACCTCGTGGGGAACTTTCTGCTACAAAGTGATGCCCTTTGGTTTGAAGAATACATGGGGAACATATAAATGCGCCATGGTCACTCTCTTTCATGACATGATCCATAAAGAGATTGAAGTTTATGTAGATGATATGATTGTCAAATCTCAGACAGAGGAAGAACATCTGGTTAATTTATAGAAGTTATTTGAAAGACTGAGGAAATTCATACTCAGGCTGAACCCAAACAAGTGCACCTTTGGGGTGAGGTCGGGGAAGTTGCTAGGCTTTATTTTAAATGAAAGAGGAACCGAGTTTGATCCTGTGAAAGTAAAATCAATTCAAGAGATTCCTGAACCGAGAACAGAAAAAGAGGTTAGTGGTTTCTTGGGGAAGTTGAACTACATTTCTAGAAGCATCTCTCATATTACAACCATGTGTGAACCAATATTTAAGTTATTAAGAAAAGATCAAGCGGCCAGTTGGAATGAGAACTGCCAAACATCGTTTGAAAGAATGAAAGAGTATTTGCAGGAACCTCCGATTCTCATGCCTCTAGTGGAGGGTAAGCCTTAGATAAAGTATCTGATAGTGTTGGAAAATTCTATGGACTGTGTACTCAGTTAACACAATAAGACATGTAGGAAATAACATGCCATTTACTACCTGAGCAAGAAGTTTAAAGATTGTGAGTCACGATACATATTGCTAGAAAATACTTGTTATGCACTTGCGTGGGCAGTAAAGCGTCTCAGACAATACATGTTGACTCATACTAGTCTCTTGATATCCAAGATGGATCCTATCAAGTATATTTTTGAAAATCCAGATCTCACGAGAAGAGTAGCCCATTGACAGATGATTTTGATAGAATATGATATTTAGTATACCGCTCAGAGAGCCATCAAAGGTAGTTTCTTGACGAACTATCTTGCTCACCAGGCTTTAGAAGATGATTATCAACTGATGAAGTTTCAATTTCTAGATGAGAAAATTATGTACATCAGGGATTGCAATATTCCTGGACTAGAGGAAGGACTCGAACTAGGATCGCGATGGAGGATGGTTCCTCGAATGCTTTAGGCAATGATGTTAGAGCTATTATTATTATTTCTCCTATAGGTTTTAATATTCCGCTTACAACCAGAATTTGTTTTGACTGTTCCAATAACGTGGCAGAATATGAAGCTTATCAAAGTTGTGATTTATTTGAGAATCAAGATCTTAGAGGTGTATGGAGATTCAACCCTCATTATCAGTCAAACAATAGGGATTGGGAGACGTGTCACCCCAATTTGATTACGTACCAAGAACATGTTATGAAGTTGATTCCGTATTTTGACGAGATCATATTTAATCACATCCAGAGGGAAGAGAATAATCTAGCAGATGCTTTAGCTACTCTTTCATTCATGTTCAAGGTTAAATGGGAAAATGAAACCCCCCTCCATCACCATCATGAGGTTGGATGAGCCACCATTCTGTTACGCAACAGAAGAGGAAACCGATGAGAGGCCGTGGTTCTATGATATCAAGATGTATCTAGAAATGCAAGAGTATCCAAAGGATGTGTCTATCATAGATAAGAAGACTCAGAGAAAATATTTGACTAAGTTTTTTCTCAATGATATGTGTTGTATAAAAGAAACTATGATTCTGTTTTACTCAGATGGACGGATAGACACAAAGTAAACAAAATCATACAAGAAGTCTACGAAGGTTCTTTTGGAACACATTCCAGTGGGCATACTATGGCCAAGAAAATCTTAAGAGTAGGTTATTATTGGTCTACTATGGAGGTTGATTGTTACAATCACGCCAGAGTTTTCTATAAATTCCAGATTTATGCTGATAAAGTGCATGTGTCGCCCATTTCGTTGAATGTCTTGACTTCTCCTTGGCCCTTCGCAATGTGGGGAATTGATATGATTGGACGGATTGAACTGACAACATCCAACGGAAACCACTTCATCTTGGTTTCCATAGATTACTTCACCAAGTGGGTCTAAGTTGCATCTTATGCCAATCTCACCAAGAAAGTGGTCGCTCGATTCATATAGAAATAAATAATTTGTCGTTATGAGATCCCCAAAAGGATAATTACTTATAATGGGTCTAATATTAATAAAAAAATGATGAAGGAGCTGTGTGAAAGTTTCAAGATAACGCATCATAATTCTTCTCCAGATCTTCTGAAGATGAATGGCGTTGTTGAGGCAATTAATAAGAACATCAAGAAGATTATGCACATAATAGTGGTGACCTATAAATATTGGCATGAGATGTTGCCTTTAGTTTTGCACGACTATCGTACCTCAGTGCACACTTCGACTGTGACAACCCCCTTCTCCCTTGTGTATGGTATGGAAGTAGTCCTGCTCGTAGAAGTTGAAATTCATTCTTTAAGGATCACGACATATGTGAAGCTTGACAAAGTTGAATGGGTTCAGAATAGACTTGATCAATTGAATCTAATTGTTGAGAAGAGATTGACAGCTATTTGTCATGGTTAGTTATATCAGAGGAGTATGAAGAAAGCTTTTGATATGAAGGTGAATCCTTGGAACTTCCAAGCTGGTGACCTGCTGTTGAAGAGGATCCTGCCTTTCAATGA